CCCCCACCCATCCACCCACCACCGTCCATCATCCGTCACAGCACCAGGCAGCCACGGCCGTCACTCCACTGCACCCGCCAGGGCTTGACAAGCAGGGACTCTCATCTGAAGTGTCAGAGGCAGGACCCAAAGGGCGAAGGGTTTCGCGTCACACGGTCTACACTCTGGGCACCATGGTGCTGTAGGTGTGTCACTCGTAGAGTGTATTTTATTCCAGAGTAATCAAAGTGTCTGCATGGCAAACCTCCCAGTGTTCGTTCTGTGGCCGAGCCACAAGGGCGGGAGGCGACGCCAGGCTTGGGGAGCTGGGCAGGCCCAGGCCGCTGTGGCCGCCTGAGGGAATGTCGCAGGTGGCAGGTCCGATGGTGCCGCCAGGCAAAGGTTTTCCCACGCTCTCCAGCAAGGCTTCCCTGGGCCATCGGGTCTGCCCGCCAGCCCCTCCCCAGCTCATCCCACCCCTGCGCCCGCCCACCCCAGGGCCTTTGCACGTGCTGGTTCCACTGCGCGGGGTGCGCTTTCCGCCAGGCCCCCCTCCTCATCTCGGCCGGAAGCCCCTTCCTCAGGGGCCGGATGCCGGGGCTTGTCACAGCCATGATTTCACCCTGTGTGGGGTGGTTTGAGGAGGCCTGCGTCCGCCACCATACAGTGCGCTCTGCAAGGGTGGGGCTGCGTGCGGTCGCCCCGTACCCTGTACCGGCTCGTGGTAGATGCTCAGTCAACAGGTGTTGCTTGAATGAGCCGGCAAGTCAGGTGCCATCTGCTCCGGCTCTCTGGAGGTAACGGGGAACCAGAGCCCCAATGGCGGACTTGCCCACAACCATGTGGCACATCGGTGGCCTGGCTGAGGTTGAACCCCAGCCCTTCTCGGTCACTCTGTCCTCCTGGGGACCACATTTCTCAGCAAGGCCCCTTCGGCCAGCCCCTCAGCAACCGTGACGGCCGCTGTTATCATCATAAGTGACACGGTCAGACCAAGGCCCAGGTGACTCTGAAGCAGCCCCTGCCGGCTCTGGTCAGCCGTCCTCTCCTCTGGGCCAGTTTTCTCATCTCGGAAGCGGGGTGGAAATAGCCACCAGGTAGAGACGGAGGACGACGGAGCTGGCGAAGGGAGGTCTTGAGCCAGGAGCCGCCCCTCGGTGACGCGCGCGTCCCCCCGACCCGCTCTCTGGCCGCAGGTACCGGAAGGTGGCGTCCAGCGTGTGCGAGGGCGGCGTGGACCTGCGGCAGAGCCCGGCCCAGCTGCAGTGCCCCCTGATGCCGCCCCGGGGCCTGCAGGTCAGCATCCGCGGCGAGGCGGTGGCCGTGAGGCCCGGGGAGGACGTGCTGTTCGTGGTGCGGCAGGAGAAGGTGAG